AATATAGGAAGGTCTCAATTATTGCGATAAGGATTGGCTGAAAAAAATTTAGTTTTATCTGAATTAAAGTTTACCAGCCACTGTTAGCCCCATGCTGTAGCAGAAGTGAGATCCTTTTTAAGCTCAAATGCCCCCTCTAAGCAATCAGAGAGAGTTGGCTTCTTATCATGACAAGAACAAATGGTAGTATCATCAGCGAACAATGCCACCTTAGATGAGAGAATATCTGGAAGTTCGTTAATGTAAATTAAAGAGTATAGGGCCAAGGATTGAATCTGAGGAACCCCTGATGTTACAGAATAAGAAGAAGAGTGCTGTCCATCGACAACAACTTTTATACTATGATTGATATATACTATGATTTAAGATTCAATAATCTTAAAGATGTTTCCAGATACATTGTAAGAAGAAAGCTTATGGAAAAGACCAGCATGCCAAACTTTATCAAAAGCTTCAGAAAATGCTTATTAAGCTTAACTTCTCCACCTCTATCAATGCACGATTAAACCTATTGGTTATTACTGTTAGCAAATCAGCCATAGAACGAGAAGATCGAAAATCCATATTGATGATCAGAAAGTAAGTTATTAGATTCAAGATGAGATATTAAGTGTTTGTTAATTAATGATTCAAAAACCTTGCTTATGATAGGAAGAAGACTAATGGGGCGGTAGTTAGTAGAATCAGACTGCACTTCAGAATTTTTAAAAATAGGGATAACAGATGCTGCTTTCCAGCAGGCTGGAAAACAAGACTCTGATAAGCACTTGTTGAATAGTTTTTAAAAGATAGACGACAGCTTTGGAAAACACTTCTGCAAGGCTATAACAGGTATGTTGTCTGGGCCACAAGCTGTAGAAGAGTCTACAGCTTGGAAATCACTTTAGATACAGAAGCTGGAGTGATACGAATGTCAAACAATGGATCAACCTGTATGATGGCTATATCAGGTAGAACGCAACTAGTGGTATCAAGAGTTGATATTTATGAAAAGTTCTTAGCAAACAATTCAGCTTTGCCTTTAGGTGAGGTGACAAAGTCTGAACCATACAAGAAAGATGAAATTACAGATTTGCTTTTATTATTGATACTGTTAAAGATTCTCCATAAGAAGAGCCTACTTTGAGCCTAGAAGAGCCTATTTTGTCACAAGAGCCTAATTTTTGTGATGAAATATTAGATTTCATGACCTGAGAATAGCGGGCTTCGGCGTTAAGTAAAACTTTTTTACAATGGTTTCTGGCAGGAATAAACAGACGTCTGTTTTCTGGAGAATTTTTTTGCTGATAGATATGGAAGTAATGGTTTTGATTGGCAATTGTAGCAGCACAATGTGAGAAAAAAACATGGAGTGAGGCTTGACCTGGAATTGTCGAGACAGAATAAAGGATTTCATGCCAGCCTGAATCCACAAAGTTACATAAGTTGCTTGTTTGTCAACAGGAAGACAAAAGATTTCTACCCAAGGGCCATCACGAAGAAAATCACGGAAAGAGTCCCAGTCAGCTTTAGGTAGTTGTAAGATCTATGATGATAGGGGGATTCTGATGATAAAGAAGAATTAGATAATAGTTTTGGAGAGATTAAACTGTGATCAGAGGCACCTAAGGGTGAATGTGGAGAAACTGAGCACTGACTAAGATCAGAAACAAGACATAAGTTGAGTAGAGAAGGTAAATGATTGGGGTTGTCTGGAAAGCGAGTTGGAAAGTTGACTATTTGAGTTAAGGATTGAGAAAGGTAAAAAATGTGGGCTTTAATGCCTGCAGAGTCACTGACACTAGAACCAAGCTATTCAGTGTGATGAACATTAAAGTCACTGACAACAACAATATTGGCTGATGGGTAAAGAGAGAGGGCTTGGTCAATATGATCAGAAATAACATCAAGAAGGGTGCAGTCTTGAGATGAAGGAGAGGGATATATAAAAAAGAGTAAAACGATAGAGTGAAGTGGTGCTAAATGAAAGCACATAAAAGATTAGTCTGTGGAAACTAATAAAATAAAAGCTTTTATAACCATGTACAAAAAATTAATAAAATAAGGCAAACAAATACAAAATATTGAGATACAGAATTTAATGTTCGTTTAGAAATATTTTTTTATTAAGTTTAAATAGTTCATTTTTCATTACTAACTTAAAAGAACGCTTTTACCATATGCTATTCCGAATTCAAAATACTTCCTATTTAATCTTGGCAACTTATAAATATTCTATCGGTTTATTCTTAACGAATATTTTTTGTTAACGTTTTTATAAATTTATCATTAAAGTTTATTGGAACCTATCCATTATTGTATTAAAAATGAAATACTGGTAAATATTGATTTTATATATATTCCTTGTTTGCATGTCTCATTAATGGTTTGGTGTGATCATATTTGGAATTTATTTTTAATTTTTTGCAATGGCATTGCAACTGCTGGAGGTGTTGATTTAACTTTAACAAAATAAAAAGATCAGATAAATAAAGAAAAATGACAGAAGTGATGCTCAACATTTATACTGTGATCTTCAAGGTTAATTTACATTAAGTTTAATAGATATTTATCAGAGGAAAAAAAATTCCATTAAATAAACACATCTGACTTATTTTTATGGATTTTGCAGAGAACTACATTTTCTTGTGTAAGATGCTGTACAAATAATTTACTGGCAAGCGGATCAATCTACCTTACATTTATTTCCTGATTATTACAAAGTTAAAAAGTTAAAAATTAATTCAAATAAGAATGTTATTGCATAATTTTTGACCATCTTTGCCATGAAGAAATATCAGTTTACTGTTTTCTCACATAGTTACTCCCTATGATCAGTTTATTGTTTTTTCACATAGTTACTCCCTATGATCAGTTTATTGTTTTCTCACATAGTTACTCCCTATGATCAGTTTATTGTTTTTTCACATAGTTACTCCCTATGATCAGTTTATTGTCTTCTCACATAATTACTCCCTATGATCAAAATCAATCAATAAAATGAAATAATTTGGTGATTGTTGCATCACAGTACAAAAATTATAAATATTAAACTTAATGTACCGCCTTAAAGATCATATAAATGCTGAGCATCATTTCTTTACTATATTCCATCGCCAAAGCCCATGTAGTAATAAAAGGAACTATAAAAAAAAGCAAGTCTATGATTAGCAATTACAAATCAGTGTTAGAAGGTCTTGGCATATTTTATCAAGTGGTGATATTTATAACCATAAAACTTATTTTAACCTCCAAAAACAATGTATGATATATATATATATTTATTTTACTTCACCTCCTCAAGGCCGAGAAGGCCACTACAAACGAGGAGGCTACTTATTTTGTGGCTATAACCCTCTCTCAACTCTATAACTCCGAAACACAAACCTTGACGAACAAGGCCGCTGCGCGGAGAAACCAGTTGAGCGCGGTACTACCAGGGACGTAGTAGGGATCGAACTCGGAACCACTCGTTTATGAAGCGAGCGCTATACCACTACACCACTACCGCATAACACCACTACCGCATATATATATATTTATATATATATATATGTATGTATATATATATATATATATATATATATGTATGTATATATATATATATATATATATATATATATATATATATATATATATATATATATATATATATATATATATACATATACATATATATAGATATGAGCACAGAAATATTTTTTACAGATAACCTCTAGCAATCCTGTTTATGATACCTGATTGCTGAATAATGTTAACTTGGTACAATAAGATTCTTTAAATTTTAAATCCAGTAAATGCATTGCACGCTTTTACAATGATGAATGGTACATAGTGTTTGTGCTTAAGATTTGTAATGAAAACCATGTGTGTGTAAAGTAATGTGCACAATCGTGTCATTTTTTGTCTATTTGACAAAATAATATGTCAAATTAGTGCTACATTCATAAAGGGTAGAAGTGCTTGTGACTACAATCTTTCAAATAATGATTATGATGGTATTATGAGTTATGTAAGTCAGAGATAATGAAATTAGTGTAATTGTGTTTTATGTGTATATACACTTCTTCTTTCAGCATTGTTTTATTTTTTATTTCAACTTTTTTTTGCAATATAATAAACTTGCTCTATTTTTTAGATCCACTTTTAAACTAAAAAAGGGTCACACTCAAAAGACTAAAAATATGTCATGAAAAAGAGAGAGTATAGGTCTTTAAATTTTTTTCTTAAAAAATAAAGTTGTTAGCTTTCCAAAGAACTTAACATTTAAGCAGAGCAAAAATTTCTAGTTTACAAAAATAATTATCAAAAATAAAAAAATTATTTAAAAAATTATTTTTGGTATGTTACAAACAAAAAAATATAAAAAATTTGAATTGTTTATGCGACACAAAGATCACAAAAAGTGACCAACGGAGCCGTGCACTTTTATTAATTATTAATGAGGAAATACTATTTACTATTTATTTTCTTTTTTCTTGGGACTTTAGGTTGTTTATCGTTATTAAGTTGTTGTCTTTTTAGTTTATATTTCATAGTTTTTTTTTAGTTATATGTCATAGTTTTTTTTTCCTGAGTTTAATGAGTTGTACTTAAAAAATATTTATAAATCAATTACTAACAAAACATAGTTTGTTTAAGAGATAACATTTAAAGCTGTTTTGGAATCTAGTCTTTTGCATAATTCTACCTGTTATATATAATCCCAACCCTCGGAATTAGGAAAAAGGAGGTCGGCAATAATTTGTTCATCTCAATCATTTAGAGATCATCATCAGGTTGGCTAAAATTATTTGATGCAAAGGTCTGACCATAAAACAGAAATGAGGTTGGCAATTTTCTGCCAAACTCAAACACTTTTAGCGCAGCAGTTAGGTCGGTATTGCTGAATGCTGACCCTAATTCTGAGGGTTGTAATCCTGTAGCGTACATTTAATCATAAATTAGCTAACAATACAATTTTTTTTAAACATAATTATGTATATAATTTTTTTTTACATAATTATGCATATAATTTTTAGGTGGCGAATATTTAGAGCTACTTGCAAGAACAAAAACAATTGCTTTTGATAAAACCGCAACACTTACTGAAGGCAGATTTCAAGTTATTAATGAAGCCTTCTTTAATAGTATGAATGGGTTTGTTATTATTTTCTCAATTAACAAATCAATTCTCAGTATGATAAAAGTTTTTTTCATAACTAAAATTCCTTCATTTATTTTATATTATAATTCACATTATATTTTATATTTCTTTATGATTTTTTTTTTTAATTTAAAGTTTCTAAAGAATGTATAAATGTATAATATTCTTTTTTAATTAGAATATGTGGTCTGTGGTCTGCATAGTTCTCTATTGAGAATATGTGGTCTGTGGTCTGCATAGTTCTCTATTGAGAATATGTGGTTTGTGGTCTGCATAGTTCTCTATTGAGAATATGTGGTCTGCATAGTTCTCTAGAGATTCTTTAAGATTCTTTGATGATTTATTATTTGTGAAGATTAAGACTACTTTGTTTAACTAATTTTTTTCTTTTTAAATCAGTGATGATGTTATAAAAGTTGCTGCTGCATTAGAATTAAAATCAAGTCATCCATTAGCTGCCCCCATTGTCAGTCGATACTTAGGTTGTCTAACAGATATGCTGTTAAAAGAAGGTTCACAGTTTGGCTTACCTGAGGTTTCAGATTTTGAAGTTGAAAGTGGTATGGGTTTACAAGGAAAGATTGAAGGTGTGAATGTTGCTATTGGAAACATTGAACTCATGAAAAAATTAAATATCCTCATTCACCAAAAGTCTCAGGAATATTTAAAAGATTGGTCCAACCAAGGTTTTACTGTTGTGTTCATAGCAATAGATGGAACAGTAAGAACTTTTTATTTCAGTAACCTTTTTCTATTATGCACAAAATATATCTGTTAACCTGATATATTTATTTATTATTTATTAATAAATACAAGCTTTTAGACACCATCATCATCTTCAGTCATCATGACAAAGTCTCGTTTTTTAACACTTTTACAGTCAAAATACACAATTTTAGGTGTAATATATTTTTTTAAATTGCTTTTATATGAATGTTTTTATCGGATAATTTTTATGTGAACGCTTTTATTGGATAGTTTTTATGTAAATACTTTTATTGAATAGTTTTTATTTGAATGTTTTTATTAAATAGTTCTATTACTTGTTTTTCAGCTGAAAGGAATTTATGGTCTGGCAGATAAGCTCCGTGTTTCTGCTCCATTAGTTGTTGAACAACTTCAAAAGATGGGAATAGAGGTAACTATGCTCACTGGAGATAATGAAGGCTCTGCTATGATGGTGATGAGAAATATTGGACTGAAGAGCTGTAGATTTAGTATGACACCTACCAATAAATTTGAATGGATTGAACAAAAAAAGGTATTCAATTTTTATGTCAATCTAAAGTTGCATTACTTGATATTGATATTCGAGACTTAATATTATTATCCTTTATATATTATCCTTTATATACATTTTATTATATATTATTCTTTATATACATTTTGTTATATATTATCCTTTATATACATTTTATACATTCCTAAACTTATGCTACTACTTGATTGCTAAACAATATCAGTTTTTTAATATTTTAAGCTCATATTCTTTTTTGCAAACAACTGCTACATTTTTTATAAAAGCGCAATTATTATAAATGCAACTTCTAATCTTGTTAAATTTTTACAACTACTACTCTATGCTATTGCTGCTACTACTACTATTACTACTACTACTACTACTACTACTACTACTACTACTACTACTACTACTACTACTACTACTACTACTACTACTACTACTACTACTACTGCTGCTGCTGCTGCTGCTGCTACTACTAATACTATTACTACTACTTCTGCTGCTGCTGCTGCTGCTGCTGCTACTACTACTACTACTACTACTACTACTACTACTACTACTACTACTACTACTACTACAAATGATACTACTGCTAAATTTTCATAAATTATACTATAAAACTGTACACCTGTATGTTGTATTATATCAAGTTTTAGTACTACTACTAAAAACTTTCACTTTTATACCTTAACTGCTTCTACTATTGCATAAGAATAAAAATAATTTTTCGGTGTATAATATATATATATATATATATATATATATATATATATATATATATATATATATATATATATATATATATATATATATATATATATATATATTTTAAAAAGAACGAATGTCACAAAGTGGGTTTCACAGTTGCAATGATTGGCGATGGAATTAATGATAGTCCTGCTCTTGCTGCTGCTGATGTTGGAATTGCTATTGGTTCTTCGGCAGCAGCACTCACTTTTCAATCAGCTGGCATTTTACAAATGTCAGATAATTTGTTGAAAATCGTTGATTTGTTACAACTCGCAAAATACTGCCGAATAATTGTGTTTCAAAATATTATTGGAGCTGTATTAATAAAATTAGTTTTTGTATTAATTGCTTTATCTGGACATTCAATGTTGTGGTTTGCTGTTTTGTCGGATGCTTTTGGCTTGTTATACGTTATGTTAAACGGAATGAGACCTTTATATTGGAAACCTAAAGTTGGTAATGCAGATGTGACCCAAAAGGATGCATAAAATTATATTGATAATATATTAAAAACTCATATATTATATTGAAAAGTTAGTAGAATACATATAGTGTATATGTGCGAGTTTGTTACAGGAAATCTACACAATTTGTTAATCTAGAGGAAAAACTTTGTAAGAATGTGAGCTTATTTAATGCCTTAATTTTTTTCTTAATGCATTTGCAGGACAAGTTTATTAATAATATTTTTAAAACTATTATTAATAATATTTTTAAAACTATTAATAATAATATTTTTAAAATTAATATTAATAATATTTTAAAAATTATTATTAATAAATATAATTATAGCTTATTAAAAATCTCACCATTTAACAATTTTCAATTTTGAATTCTTGCGAATTGCATATAATTACATATGAATCCAGATTAAGCAAGTTTTACTTAACAGACCACGCAGATCAACAAATTTGTTTATATGATTGCTTTTTTAATTTGTTTTTACTTTTTTATTACTTTTTTTAAATTTTACTTCACTTACGGTGATTATTTTTAATTTTTAATAATTTTATATTTTTTTGAGTCATTTGTTTTATGTTATTCGTGTTCTATGTTATTTTTATGTAGTTATGTCTTGACTTTTACTTTTTATCCTTTTGTAAAACATTTTTATATTGTTTTTATAACGACTTAAGTTTAATTTTGGAAGATTTTTTTCAATTTGAAAGATACATTCTTTTTCAATTTTTAATCAGTTCTTTATCGGTTATGATCGAATTTAAAACCACTCTTATTTTTTATTTTAATCATAAAGATATTGTGATTTGTCATATTGACGTTACGTTATTTGACAACAAAATAAAATGGTTACACTCATTTTTTAGATGTACATATATTTTTTTAAAATTAAAAATAAATCTGTAATGAAAATTTCGTCTCTGAATATTTTAGGAAGTTTATATTGCTTATAATACGTAAAAAAAACTTTAGAATTTGTAGAAATACATTAAAATACGCTTAATATTCAAGCCTAAAATGCTAGTCAGCGCTACTATCCATCATCCGGCAATTAACCGGGAAAATTTGAGTAACAGGCAATGATATATTATATTATCTCTAACATAGATCCAAAAAGTGGAGCCCTTTTTACAAATGGCTTATTAAATTTGTAAACAAATGTTTTTAACTTTTCTATTCTTAAAATAAGTAAATATATTTTAAATTTATATACTATTTATTTTAAAGTGTTAAGCGGAAATTAGAATACTTGAAAAATAATAATTCATGATTCCTTAACTTATTTTCGATTAAAAAGGATCTAGGTTTTTGAATAGAAAAGTAAAACGACAGACGCCTTTGAAGCATTTTTATGAATTAAAATTTTTTAATAAAATTAGGCTCATAAAAGCTTTTATAAGTATTTTATAATTATTAAAACTTGTTTTTGAATTATCTTTTAAATTTATTAGAAGCTTTTGACTTGCACCTTTAACTTTTATTCCACACTTCAGCTTCAGGTTTTGCCCTTTTTACAAATGGCGGACAATCGTTATAAACAAGAAAAAGCGGCTTCATTTTTTGTCCAATGAAATCCCGCAAGTTAGATATCTAGTTTATATAATATCATTAATACCATCTTTTTCCGGATATTTCTTTATTTTTCAAGTTTCATTTTCTCCGGATATCCAAATAGTTTTGTGGAAATACAAGTTTAAAATATTTTTTTTTGTATCTTGATATTTTATAATCGACCAAAATTAGCGAGCCAACAAGTTTCTCATTTTAAAAGCAATCTAGCTTTCGAAAACTTTCTCATTTAAAAAGTTATAATTATATTTAAAGCAATTTTAAATTACTATGAATTTATTTAAATTTTACATATAAAAATTTATTTCATGATAAAAGTTGTAATAGATGATCAGATGATAAAAAATAACTATATCTATGTAAAAAAAGTTCAATTTTTTTTTTTTTTAATATAAGCTTTTCTTTCTTCCTTGTTTTTTCTCTTTAAATTATTAAATATTTTTCTCTTCGCAAAAAAAGAAGCGATTTAAATATGAAAAAACTTTAGAAGATTGCTCAGAATGAAACAAGTGGAATTATTTTGAATATTTATAATTTAACTTTTAAAAAATATAAATATTCCTGGTATAAATTTAATTTTTTTTTCTTCTTGCTTTTCGCTTTTTTATTTGCCAGACCTAAATTTTCTAACTTCGCGAAAACGTTGTGTCAAACCTTTTTCATTTTCAAATGTATATATTATTTATTTATTTATTCTTTTCATCACCCAAATTGCAGGTAAAAAATACAAAGACCATAAAACTAATAGTTTATTCTCTAAGTTGAAATTCTAATTTAGATTCTTCTTGGAAAGCTTTCTTCTATCAAATTTTTGAATATCATTCTCTGTTCTCTAATGTTCCAGAATTCAAAGGACTGGTTTAAAATTTCCGCTTTATTATCTTTTACGTCATCGTTACGACGTTTTATAATGATTTTTTCCCCCTTAATCAAACACTGAATGAAGCTTAGCTCCAGGCGGTTGCAAATTTTCATTACTTTGTTCATAAAGCAGTTATCCTTATTAACATTAGATATTTGAGTTAAAATCAAGGAAAAACAAGTCGGATTGCTCAGTAATCTGGTAAACAGCTTCAATTTGTTTTGAACGAGGATGGTAAATACGTCATCGATTTTAAAGTAGGAATGCACATAGTTTTTGCTTTTGAAATACTAAAGAGAAATTTTAATGCTGTTTTTCCAACAACGTCTATTTTATTAAGAAAAGTATTGTTATAATCACAAGTTTCTAATCCATATGTTAGATTTGGTATAGCCAGAGGTTTGAACAAATGCACTATAGTTACTGGTTGACAAAAAAACGAATTATAAGAGCTCTGGAGATTGATTGAAATTGAATAATTCTTTCGCTTACATTTGCTGATTAGATTGTAGCTATATTTTGTCCATGGCTTTGATTTTCCCATAGGAATCACGGAAAAATCGTTAATTTGTATTATTTTTTTTTTGTAACAACTTTTACTGGAGATAATAAACTCGGTTTTTTCTGTGTTTAAAACCATTGGGCCTTCTATAAACATAAAAATATATAAATAACAACAACCATAACAACAAGTTTATTTGATACGGAGCTCTTTGCAGTCTTTGCAGCCTAGGCATTAACGAGAAAGAGACGTAGCGCTTTTTTTTTGTTAAAAAATGCGAACGAAAGTGAATGAAAATATCTAACTTTTGTAAACTTTAATTTATTTAATGTTAAAACATACTTCAATTTTTACAGCTTTTTTTTTTCTTGAAAATTGCATTTTCATAACTCATTTATAAAAGGAGTACTCCCAGACTTTCAAAGGTTATTCCAATTCACAAGAATGGCTCCAAACTTGAACTTATTAACTACAGGCCTATTTCATTATTGTCTAATTTAGCAAAAATATTTGAGAAAATGATGCATGTAAGACTGTATAAGTATTTGGAGACTTTTAATTGTATTTAAAGATTACAATATGGATTTAGACACAAGCATTCAACTACCTATGCACTTATTGACTTTACAGAGATTATCCGAAAAGCACTAAATGAAAATAAATTTGCTTGTGGTGTGTTTATTGACTTGCAGAAAGCTTTCGACACAGTAAACCATCATATTCTTCTCGCCAAATTAGCTTATTATGGAGTTCGTGGAGTTCCTCTGAAATGGTTTGAATCTTATTTAAGCCATAGACTTCAATTTGTAACTATAAATGAAATTACCTCATCAACCCAACCTGTCAATTCAGGAATCCCCCAAGGATCTATCCTTGGGCCACTTCTATTCTTGGTATATATCAATGAACTAAACACATGCCTCAATAATGTATCTACTTACCATTTTGCTGATGACACTAATTTGCTTATAATTAAAGACTCTGCTGACAAAGTTCTAAATAAAACCAATGAGGTCATATCATCAGTTATTGACTGGCTGGGAGCTAATAAAATCTCATTCAATGCTAAAAAAACCCAAATAGTAGTCTTTAAAACCAAAAACCAAAAAATTAATAAGCAATTAAATTTTTATATTAATGGAGAGATATTAACTTCTTCAAAATCAGTAAGGTATCTTGGAGTAATGCTGGATGAAGATCTTTCTTTTAAATACCACGACTCTTATTTACAGTCAAAATTGAGTCGATCTATTGGTATGTTGGCCAAAGTAAGGCACTTTGTCAATTTAGAAACTATAACCAGTATTTATCACGCCATATTTGGATCTCACATACAATATGTTTTTTCCAGATCTGGGGACAAACTAAAAATCAATCCCTAAAAATTATTTCCTCACTTCAAAATAAAGCCATTAAAATCATCCACTTTCAGAAAAACCATTTCATCAATGTCTCTTTGTTATATAAATTATCACAGGTATTAAAACTTCATGACAACATCAAACTTATGAATTGTACCTTTGTATGGAATTACTTGCATGGTAGACTCCCAATTGCTTTCACTTCTTTCGTCTCCCAAACCAGATCCAAACACTTCTATCTCCTTAGATCCTCATCATGCAAAAATATATTTGTTGAACATAGCCGAACAATAATATATGGCAAAAACTCTATAAAGCATCAATGCACCAATGAGTGGAACAATCTCCCCCTCTCCATAAAAACTGAAAACCCGAATTCGAGATCTGCCTTTTTAAGTAAAATTAAACAAAGCTATCTTGACAGCTATGTATAAAAATAAAAGAGTACTATTACCATAGTTACCATACTCAATGTTTATACTAGATTTAAATAATATTTCCCTATTTAGTATTTATTATTATATTTATTGCTATTTATATTAAATAGTTAGTATTAGTTCTTTTATTCTATTACCTTAAACTCTAATCCAATAAGTTTTCTCTTTACTCAATAACACTTCTTTCGTTCTAGCATTATTCATATTATTAACCTTTATTATTTAATTATTTTAATCAGTTACTATTATTTTTATTATTATCTATTGTCAGTATTATTACGTACTTGTTTTTATTAGTTTTAGCATTTTTATTATATATAAATAACTTTAATTTTTGTTCCTTGGTTATTGTGTCTGCTGTATTATTATTACTATTATTATTATTATTATTATTATTATTATTACTGTTATTATTGTTATTATTTTTTTTTTCATTTTTTTTTTTTTTTTTTTTATTTTTTTTTTTTTATTTTTTTTTTTTTATTTAATATTTACAAGGTTTTTTC